GAGTTCTTATCTTGTCTCATGTCGCGCCAAACGTGAGACAATGAGTTTTGTTCCTTCCTATCCTGTTCTGTCTCGTGTACCAAACCTTGTTAGCCCATTTAAACTTTGGATAATAAATTTTTCTCTGTTGTATTCGTTAATAATTATGTTTCACATAGGGTTGAGTTCCGTTGAGAATGAAAGTTATAGTGAGAAGCGTAAGAAGAGGTATCCACAATTGGATCAATCTTAATTGAATTTCAACACTAATGAGGTGCTCCAAAATGCACCACAGATCAATTCCATTCTAAAACGCAATTCATGGCAGACATGAGATTAAAACTAATCAAGGATTCAAATATCTTCTTACATTTCTACCCATAACTTAATTTTTCACATAACCCTTTGCCTATTCACCTAATGATAATATTTAAGCTTCTGAGCAAACAAATCAATGAAGTTCAAACAAGCATATATTACAATGACTTGATTAAACTTAACATCTCTCGACAATTAAACCTTTTTTTATTAACCTCGATATCCAATCCGCCATGCGAGCCGACTAATCTCAGTACGACCATCTGTTTTGTGGGTAGTCCAGAGTCAACACATTTGAACCTCCATGGATACAAAGAAGATTTTTATTCCTTCTTGGACTTGAACCCGAGACCTCCAAATACTTTTGACCTTTGGAAACCAAGCTCAAAACAATCAAGCACCAACCTTGTGGTTTTTAACAATTAAACTTTACTTTCAAAGGAGTTGCGTTAATCAGTAAAACTGAACATGATTCAAGTTACGGATGATTGTTCGATGAATGCAAGTTTTTTTTTTGTTATTTGTTATAAAAAAGAAGTTACGTTAATCGACAGAAACCGAATACAATTTGTTGTGAATCACTCCATTTAATGGCTGATCATTAATGGAATATATGTTTTTTATTTTTGTTAACTTATGAGAAAACAATTTGAATATATAGTGAATTAGGGGCCATTTACTAAACACTTACTTGGTAAGTGATTAACGCATAAATTTCCTCATCGGATGAACATGAGAAGAGCCAAGAATCTTACCGGGTAAGAGCAATAAGAAGGATGAAGAGTCTTACCCGGTAATTGAGGAAGGTGACTCTTACCTAGGTAAGTGCTTACCCAATAAATTGTTGCATTCAATATGTTTTGATCTACTAAAATCTTACGCATCAAAAGAAAAAAAGAAAAAAATGAAAATGTTTCATTGCCTGTCGTGGAAGATAAATTCCTTAAAAAGTTTTTAATTTGGAAGTCTCATTGCCTCTCCATAGGCGGAAGATATACTCTAATTCAGTTGGTGTTATCTTCTCTTTCGCTGTTCTTCTTTTCCCTTTTCAAAGCGCCCAACTCAGTTTTAAAAACTTTGGAATCTATAAGGAGAAGATTTTTTTGGGGTTTTAAGGAGGATGAAAAAAAATTACATTGGGTTGCTTGGGAGAAACTTTTGAGCCCTAAGTCAAATGGTGGTTTGGGTATCGTTATTTTGAAAACAAAAAATGTTGCTTTGTTAGCAAAATGGATATGGAGGTTCTTGTCTAGCTCTAATGCGATTTGGAAGGATGTCATTTCTGAATTTTATGGTGAAGATGGTGGTCTTTTTTCAAATAGGCCTTTGGTTGGAAAAAACGTTTGGGTTTCTATTGTCAACACTTGTAAAAATGTGGAAGTTGAGGTCAAAATGTTATCCTTTCGTTTACAAAAAAGGTTGCTAAAGATTCTTCTTCTCTTTTTTGGAAAGATGCGAGCATCGGCCAAGGCTCAAAGTTGAAAGACCTTTTCCCTAGACTTTATGCCATGGAAAGGAATAAAAATGCTTCTTTCAAAGACAGATGGACTTATATTAATGGTTCTTGGAGTGGTGCTTGGGATTGGAAAACAACGATTAGAGGTAGAAGCTTAGATGATCTTCAAGCCCTAGAAAGGCAACTCTCTCATGTGGCTTTCAATACTTCGGGTGAGGATATTTGGTCGTGGAATTGGAACAAGAACGGGATTTTTTCGGTCAACTTCTTGTCCAAATTAATTTAAGGGGCGGTTGATACAAATGTTGGAAGCAATGATCCGTTTTTTTGGAGTCCTTTAATTCCAAGGAAGGTAAACATCTTCACTTGGCGCTTCCTTAAAGAGGCTATTCCGGTAAGACTCAATCTTTCAAAAAGAGGAATTCCGTTACAATCTTTGCAGTGCATCTTTTGCAGCAAAGGTGTTGAAACTATGGACCATTGTTTCTTCTCTTGTTCGGAGGCAAGCATTCTTTGGAGGAAAATATGGGCTTGGTGGGATCTTAAAACCCCGCGGCTATCCTCGGTATCTGATTTTAAAATGTTGATCAAACAAGTAGGTACTCATCGTAAGGTTGGAGTGACTTTCTTATCAGTGTGCGCTGTGGCGCTTTGGCAACTTTGGAAGTGGCGGAATGAAATTTTTCATGCTAAGGATGGTGCGGAAGCTAAGAAGAGAGGTGAAGACCCATTCCTAGGTGTTCAAAATTTATCCAAGCTTTGGATGTGGAAAAAGAATCGTAAGTTCCATCTTAATTGGGATAGTTGGTCTTCTTCTCCTTACCTTGTTTAGTCTCTTTGCTTGTCTTAGGCTGGGTTTTGCTCTGGCTTTTGCTTGGAGATGTCTCTTTTTGCTTCTTTTTGTTTTCGTTTGATGTTGTGGATTCTTGTTTCCTCTTGTGTCTAGCTTCTTGCTGGATGTTTTGTTTAATATTATTGGTTGGCTTGGTGAGGGTGATGGCCATGTCGAAGCTCTCCTCCTTGTCCTTCCTTTTTTGCCTTTAAAAAAATGAATTAAAGAAATACACAAACAGAAGAAATTTTAAATAGTCAGTTTGGTACCAATATCAGTATTTTTTTATATATCTTTATATTTATATTTTATTCAAAAATAAAAGAGTTATCGTTTTTTTAAAATCAAATAAAACCGTATTATAACATTAATCAAGACAAAAAAGAATCAAAATCAAAATTTATTTTCACTACGTTGTGCCACTATTCTTTTAGTTTATTTTAAAATTGTATACCATTTTTAAAAAATTTGAAGTCCGTGCAAGGACAAAAAGCTCTTTTCCTTAGAATCTGGAAATAATATGCGATGCTTATGAGAGGTGCCTCAAAGATTCCAAACAAATTTTATAATTAATCTTTTTTTTTAATTACACTTATTTAATTAAACAAATAAGTTGTCAACTATAAAATAAAAAAGAGGTATCATTTTCGACCAATATATTTTTAATTAATTATATATTTTTCTTGTTAATTAATTGACTAAAAAAAGGTTAAAAGATTAAAAAGTCGAATAAATTATAACTTTTTATGTTAATTTTTTCATAAGAAATATTTTAAATTTAAAAAATGGACAAAAAAAGTATTGGGGGTCATGACGGTGTTAGATTTAGGGTATTTGTCGATCGGATACATTTTTAAGATGGATCAGTAGTTCACAAAGTACGTTACTAGCCACATCAACATAATAACCGGCTAATGTTTCAACCGATTATCCGGGTACTTAAATGTTTGAAGCTTTACATCTTAGGTACCAAAATAGAAGTTTTGAAAGTACGTTACCCAAAATATAAATCAAGTTAAAGTACGTTACTTTTTCATGCAATTTGTCATTTATTTTAGTATGAAATATACAATATAATTTACGAAAATTGGTCAAAATATTCATTTCTTTTTTATAGATTGGTCTCCCTACCATTCATCTTCCTTATTTACTCAAATATCACTGCGTACGTAAGTCTCACGTCAGCCACTTGCAGACCTACGTAAAAGAAAAAAAATCAAATTGTAGATATGGTCGTCGCAATTGCGGACCTGTGTCAAATCTGATAAATTTTTTTTGTCTTTTAGCTGGATCCATAAGTGACGGACGTGAGACTTATGAACATAGTAATATTTTAATAAATCATGGAAAAGAATAGTTAGGAGAATAATTTATATGAGAAAAATGATTATTTTAACCAATTTTTCTATAATTTAACTAATTATCAATCAATATTTTTATATACATTGTTAATAGTTTATTATCTTTTCACGAAAGCAACATATTTCCTCGAGAAAATGACATCAAGACGGAATATATTTTACAACGAATTAGGTTTATAAGATTTCAACAATGTCTAATTGTTCTAGTAGATAAGTTTTTAGGGCTTACGTTTATAAGATCAAACAATAAAATGTATTATCTAATAAGTTTATATGGTGTTTCTTAGACGTCTTAATAAGTTTTTAATGACATTTTTACATCGTAGAGCTATTTTATAGAAGGTGTCCAATAAATATAACTTTTTATATGATACTTGTTTTTATAAGACAAATTTTCAAATAAAATATATAAAATAGCTAATATGACATTTTATTTTAAAATGTCTTAAAAGCGTATTGTAAACTTATTATAATATTTTTAAATGTAAACCCATAACAAACAAAATCAATATTTATAGTAATTATTATTAATTTTTTTTATTAAAAGTTGTAGTACAAAATTATATTTTAATTTTAAATTAAATTTACATTTTTTTATTTTAGTTTGTCTCAAAATAAATATTTATAGAAAGTAAAAAAATTTAAGGATTGGGTTCACGTGAGACCAAAGGTTTTTTGTGAGACCCGTAAGATCAATTTATGTTCATTGATCAACTTTATAAGCTAATGATCTAAAGTTGTACGATGTCAATTTTGTGATTAATGAGAAGTCTCGTGACATTTATGAATGTTCAGATTGTCAAATTATAGATTTAATCTAAGGATTGAAAATTGGTCTTACGAAAAAATTCTTATTCCCACCTGATCCTAAGTCAAAATTTAATCTCAAGAATATCATTTAGTTATTTAAAAAAATAATAATTACAATTTTTTTATAAACATTTGTTTTCTAGACGATAGGATTTATTACTCCATAAATTTGATGACTGCCGGCAGATGACTCATGACCAGCGCTTCATAACATCTTTAAATACAAAAAATATGTATCAAATCTATGATCCAAATTACAATGACCATGGAGTTTAATTGGACACTTGGTCTGATTTCCTCAGCCGCTGCTTTCTTGCTCATTCTCCTCCGCCGGAAATGGGCGGCAACTGGTGAAGACCGGCAACCACCGGCTCCACCAGGATGGCCACTATTCGGAAACCTTTTCAATCTTGGTGCCATGCCGCATAGAACCGTGGCTAGCCTAGCCACGGAATATGGTCCGGTTGTTCGGTTAAAGCTCGGTTCGGTGAATACAGTGGCTATCTTGAGTGCCAAGGCTGCCACCGAGTTGTTCAAGAACCATGATCTGGCGTTCTTGGAACGTACGATCACAGAGACCAGCAGGTCTCATGATTATGACAGATCTTCCTTGGCACTAGCACCGTACGGGATGTACTGGCGAGTGCTGAGGAAGATCTGTACAGTCGAGATGTTTGTGGCTAAAAGGATCAACGAGTCGGCCGCCGTCAGGAGACGGTGTGTCGATAACATGTTAAGTTGGATTGAAAATGAAGCCAGATTGGCTAAAATTGGGAGCGGGGTTCATGTCGCGAAGTTTGTGTTCCTCACGACATTTAACCTGCTCGGAAACCTCATGCTTTCTCGGGACTTGGCGGATCCGGACTCGAAACTTGCATCGAAGTTTTTTACAGCGATGTTAGGGATGATGGAATGGGGTGGTCATCCGAATATATCGGATTTGTACCCGTGGCTAAAGCGGTTTGATTTGCTAGGGTTGAGAGGGAAAATGGACCGGGATATGGGATATGCTTTAGAGATAGCGACAGGGTGGGTGCAAGAGCGGGTGGAGGAGCGGGGGAAGGAAGCGACACATGATGAAGAGAGGCGGAAGGACTTTTTGGACGTGTTATTGGACTACGAACGCACCGGAAAGGATGAACCCGAGAAGATGTCGGAAAAGGACATCACTATATTTATTTTGGTGAGTTTGTTTTGGGGAAAGAAACTACCGTTTTACTCTTTGGAGTACGAGTCTAGTCTGTATGTATCTTATCTTTTCAGACTCCACATCCGAGCGGGATATAGCGAGTCAGTTTGGTTTGATTTGATTTATTTCTCTAAACATTTTTCTAAAAATCGTTTGGTCGACAAATGTAGGAGATATTTCTAGCAGGTTCGGAAACAACCAGCAGCACCATCGAGTGGGCACTGACCGAATTACTACGATGCCCCGAGAAAATGACTCGGGCTAAACATGAGCTCGCCTCGATCATCGGCCCAAATCAAAAATTCGAAGAGAGTTCCATCGATAATCTTCCTTACCTACAAGCAATTGTAAAAGAAGCCCTACGACTACACCCTCCGATCCCGTTCCTGGTCCCACGAAAAGCGGGTCGTGATACCGATTTCATGGGATACCATATACCTAAAAACACCCAATTGTTCGTTAACGCATGGGCCATAGGCAGGGACCCTGAGTGTTGGGAAAACGCTAATTTATTCGAGCCCGAGAGGTTCTTGGGATCAAAAGTTGACTATAAAGGTCAACACTTCGAATTAATACCATTTGGTGCAGGTCGAAGGATGTGTGTAGGATTACCGTTAGCCCACCGTGTGTTGCACCTTGTATTAGGTTCGTTGCTACATGAGTTTGATTGGGAGCTCGAAAGTGGTATCATTGCCGACACAGTGGACATGAGGGATAAATTGGGAATAACAGTAAGAAAACTGGAACCGTTGAAGTCAATACCCAAAAAAACAACACGTTAGTTTTCTTTTAAGTCCTTTAAAATTAATGGAGTTACATATAAGATGACATAAATACCGATATAATGTATAATGTTGTTATCTATATATCGCTAATTTTATTAAATTACATTTTCATGTAATTTATTAAATCGTCGTACTTTTAAATACTAAAAAAAAAAAATCATGTTTTCGTGTGTAAGTCTTGTTATCGATATTATATAAAATATATATTATAATAATTAATTATAAATTACGTTGATGCTATTCACCTTGCGCATAATCACAAATCTGGATCCCATACGCCAAAGTTGAATTTTAGGGCACGTGCTATTTATAATGACGAATCTTTAAGAACTAATCACGTGCTTATTTTTCGTGATGAATATTTTGAAATTGTGATTGTTCTATTGGTTATAACGATAAATTTTATAAATTGTTTGTTGTTTCTTTTTTAATAATTTTATTAAGAGATAATTTTTGAATTGTTAAGAGTTGAATTTTGTTTGATAAAAAAAAGTATGTCTTTTAATGGTTTTAAAATCATCTGAATGATTTTGTATCATGGGTCTCTCTTAACCATTTAGTGCCCTAATTTCATTGTAAATAATTATCAAACAATTATATTACATTTTGCACTATATCAAAAGAGTCTCTTAATTATTCTTACCACTTAATCATTTTGTACCAAACCATTCACCAATTGTCAAACAGTCACATAGTGCCATTTAGTTTTAGTCGATGTCCTTGAGGAATTTGGATTACGTGTTTGAAATTAAATGTGAATTATTGTATGAGAATTAGAGCTAAAGCGAGAAGCGTAAGAAGCGATCCGAACCTTTGATCACTTTTAATTTCAAGCCACACATAGATCATGTTTGATGCGAGGATTAATCCAATTCATCTCGTTGCATCTCATCCTAATGTGCATTCAATGATGAAGATCCGTTATTACGCTTCTAATCGGAACCCAATCCTGAAATTGAAAGGGTTTAGATTTAAAATAATTTAAAATCTTTGTTATGTTTAATTTGTAAGATTTTGGATAAAATTGAATTTCGTTCTTTATATATAAATAACGAAAACCAATCATAGATAATTATAAAAAATAATCAAATTACTTTTTATTATTAGTTATTATAAAACAAATGTTTTTAGCATCATTTTGAAACATTATTATAAACAAATCTTATGAAATCCTTTGAAATAACCACTCGTGACTCCTATAGAATTTCAAAATACCATGCTTGTGAGATTTTATTGAAATCCCAGGATTTCAATTCCATACTTTCTTTTAAACCAAACACATAATTAAAATGGAATCCAATTCAAATCTCACCAAGTCTCTTCAAATCCCGCCAACCAAATCAACCTTGCTTTTTTACACTTCAAGATTTTTTAAAGGGCGACCTAGGGCCTGCTTCGTACAAGTTTAAGAAGCTTAATAGAGGGCTTCAACTTATTCGCTCAACCATTTAAGGGTGTTTGGTAGGAGCTTAATCAAATAGAAGACAACTTATTCGCTCAACTTTGGGAAGGAACCTTGATGGAGACATACATGTTATTTCCATCAATACCCCTCCAAAAAAAAATGCTCGCTCAGCCAAAATAGAATTTGTTCAACCAAATTAAAAAATTGCTCAACTCATTCTCTTAAGAAATTAAAACCTTAACCTTTTCCACGAAGACCTCACGTTCCTCTTGTATTAGAGCTGCTCGGCCATCGATTTGAAGCTTGCTACCAAAAGCTCTGAATTTCTTCTCCCCCATTGTGAGGTATCCTTTTTGTATAGTCCTCCCTGTTCCACCCCGTCCTCGCCTTCCCCCTCCTCCCCATCGTCGCTCTGCCTTCTCCCCTTCTCCGTCAACAAACCCACGTTTTCTTGCTGTCATGGCCCTACATATGGGTGAGAAATCTGATGTATCGAGTGATTTTTTAAGGTTCTACAATGGTCGGATTTATAATTGAATCTTTTTCAAATTTGCTACAGAGAGGACGATGCAGAGGTAAACCGAAAAGGGACTTTAGGTTTAGATTTTAGTCTCTTAAATCTTGTGAATTTCTCAAACCTTTTCTATTGGTTCTACATTTGATAATTGTCCTAATCTTTTGAAAGAGATGGGTTCTTGTGATTGTTCATTTTTGGGATTGGTTTTCTGGAAAATCGAAAGGGATGTGTCTTTAAGTAGTGTTCATTCATGTTAGTAGATCAATAGACCAAATATAAATTAAAGGATAAAATGGTCATTTTCATCATTTAGACCGATTATTCAGTGCAACAAACAAATAACAATTTTATTAATCTATATAGACAACTTTACCAATACAGCTAACTTTATCCATACAAGATTTAATACAAAACCAACCAAACAGGCCCATACTTTTTCACATTAAGATTCAAGATTTTTTCAAAATGGACCCTTACAAGCAATTGTTATCGACCCAAGTGCAATCTTATTCACGACAAATTGTACAACGTGCATTATATGTAGTGGAGTTTAATTGTTTCACGTTTATTTGTTATGATGTTTGTTGTTCGGAGATAAGTTTTCTTTTATACTTCTATCGTATTTCATTTATTCAAATGATTTTTTAATCACGTAAAAATAAAACTGTGAATTTTTTTATAAAATTATCATTGGTCTACTGATTAGTTTTCTTTGTTTTTTTGTATCTGAAGTCTTGTAAAATCCACGTCAAAGAAAGTAAACAAATTTTGTGCTCGAAATACCCCGACTACTCACCATTCACCATTTTGCCATGAACACATATCTCACAGCCCAATTTATCGCAAAGTTTTATATAAGCTATCGGATCTTTGCAAAGCGGATAATCATTTTTTTTATAGGGAGGGGGGAGACCCCTCCAGATCAAGGTAAGCGGATAATCATTAGAATCATGGGAGCAAGTTCCGAAGAGAACCATAAATATTTTTGTGAACCTAAGAACCAGTTATTCATGTTTTATTCATGATTAAAATTGTTGATAATGCATGATATCATGAATTATGAAAATGTTTGATATTTAGTATTCATGATTATTAAGGGCTATTCATCGTGAACAATCAACGAAATAGTTGGTTCTTAGATTCTCAAAATATTTATGGTTGTCGTTTGAACTCTACCCTATAATCATGCAGACCCCATGAAAGATCTGTCAATGATGTCTTGGTTAAACCTCAAGACGTAATGAAGTCCCATGAGAAGTTCCGTGATCGCAATTTCACTCGTGGCTTGATCTGCGTAGAACAAAGTCTGGACTAAAAGCACGTTGCCACCCGAACCCATCGGCTGCTTCTCGAAATTTCTCTCAGAATGCCATTTGATCATATTATGAGCGAGTGGAGCTAGCCAATCAAGAATTCGTTGGAACGATGATATCTGATCCGATGCGACACCAGGATTGTTGACTAACGAATCTTCTCTTTTTGAGTAAATGCAGAGTTTCGCTCTTAATGACTGTTTGATGCTTGTGGTTAACATCTCGTATAAATCTTCTCGTGCATCAGGACTCATAAAGCGAGGAGACGTTGCTAAAGTTTCAATAAATATGATAATTTTCGCATAACGTATCGCTAAAGCAGCATCACCAAGGGTCGGTTCTTGAGCATTCAACGATAATTTCTTGAAATCAAAGGCACAAGTGGCTTTCTTGATGGGGTTCACAGTGGAATTTTGAAAAATACCATTGACCCTGAAAGAACCAGTGAATGGAGAGTCGATTCTAGATGTCGTGCATTCAAAATGAGCCGATCTTTGCGATTTAATTGACGGGTTTCTCCCACAGAAAACAGGTGGAGAACAAGTTTGAGGTTTACTGCTTGTTGTATATCCAAGATTCGACATGGATCTCCTAGAAGAACTTTCGGATGGATAGACTGAAGCTCGGGTAAGGGCAGAAATGGAATTCTTGCGCACAAAACAACCATTGTGAGGCAAATCTTTTGCTTCCAAAGATCCCATTTTGGCCGTTATTCCAAAAACGATCTTGATCCTATCGACTATTGTGAAAAGAGATCTAACCAATAGCCTGACCGTGTAGTCATAAGTTCGAACCCATGGAGACATCTCCATTAAACCATTTACCTCCTCTCGATGCCAAATAACCTTCTGATGGAACTCCTGCAATTGTCCTTGATTCACACCGTTGGATTGCATTCTCTTTAGCTTGCTTTCTCGATCATCCAATAAGTCAAGTTCTACATACAACTGTGACATAATAGCAGCAAATCTCTTCATCTTTTTAACCCTTTTCTCCATCTTCTTCAACCTATACTCCCATCCACACCATTTCAGACCGATCTGAAAAGGGTTATTGAAAACATGATCAAGATTATGATATATGGGGTCCACGCACTTTTTCCCGAGCCTAGCCACTGATATAGCCACACCCCTTAAGTTATCTATGATCTCTGCTAACGCGAGATCAGTGAGATAAGCATGATCATCTGAAATAAGCGTACGTATGCCTAATGAATATCTGAGTTCTTCTTTTAATCGTGACATCTGCCGTTCACTTAAGCAATGCCATAAATTGGATACTTTACACATCAATCTTGAAACTTCAAATGATAAGATCCCAATCACAGGCTTTTCAGGCTCCAACCCCTTGTTCTTATGTGGAGTCCTCAAAACAGTAGCAAACCACGGGGATTCCTTCATTTTTTTTATCCCTACTTTCTTGAAAACTAAACAAATACCTCAGGATTTACGCTCGCTAATCCTGTTACAGAAACACCAAGGTACCAAAGTAAGTATCAATAGCAAAATTTTAAAACAACACCACCACAAACTGATGTTCGACTTCAAATTTCATCTCAGTTCCAACACTTGTTAAATAGGATTTACTAAATTCATTTAGTACCGCAATTGGGGAGTGTTGGTATTCAACAGACCCACAACAGTTTTGTATTTTGAGTGAGGAATTTAATCAAACATATAGAATGCAAAACCCTATTTCCCAATCAAGAACCACATATAGATTTAAGTCGACTATCCAGCAAATTAACATGAAATTGACAGCATTTTAACCATTAAAACTTACCAATATCCAGAGCAGATAGAAATATCATTGACGAAGAGATGATTTTAGGTAGACTTTTTATGTTAACTATATGATGTTTTGTGAAGCCGAAGGGCTGATTCTTGGCAGCAGCATGGAGTCATTTTCGTGCAAAACGATGTCGGAAAAAAGTGTTAAATGTATCATTGTTCAAAAATATGCGAAAAGTAGGCATGAATTCACAACTGTTCTTAGGTTTTGACATTTTTCTAGAATGTCAAATGAATACCTTGGCATCCCACATGCTTCAAACCAACCTAACGGTTTTTGTGTTTTACGTTAAACATGTCTTCTTTATATAGAATTAATTAATTAATGAACAAATATTTAATAAAACGTAGTCACATTTCGAGTCAAACAATGTTGTCTTTGTGTTATGAAATAATGAAAACGATATCATCTCGTGTTATATATAAATTGATGTCATCAGCTCGTACCTAAAACTCACAAACCAGTTTTTATGTGTTGTTTTATTATAAAATAACATATATAAAAATGCATTTTTATATATGCCGTTTTGATTCGTATATGGAATTTTTATGACTGTTTTTTCCACACACAAAACAGTCGTGGACGTTTCACATACGAAACAACGCTTTATGAAAATTGCATTTTCATATGTGTTGTTTTATATGTGAAATAATGAAAATCGGTTATAAGTTTGTATAATTTATTGGGTTTATAAATGATTATGCATCATATGTGAAACGTTATTAAAAAGTTTATGTTAAATCATATATTATAATTTTCATAAACTACAAAAATAGAATACTAAAAAAACATGTATGTCGGTATGAAACAAAAAAACCTGTAAATCATTCTGAATTTTGTCTTTGTAGATAAACACAAAAGATTTCAATGTTAATGTTATCTCATGTTTCTGTTGAATATAATGTCAAACCATGTGCTTTGTTTTTCTAAAACCGCGTTCTTTGATTTTTGGTCATATTTTGAAGATAATGACAAATTTGTATATATTTTACCCTTGAATACCTTATTTTTGAGATAATATGGGTTTGTTTATATGGACGGACCTACAGTGGTGCCAACAGTGGCATGTGCCACTGTATTATTTCTCCATCGAAGAGTATAAAATTTAGGTTTGTGAAAGGTGCAACTGTATTAATTTGTTATGTGCTACCGTATATACTTTGAAACTACAAATTGGACAAGTTTTCTTTGATAGAGTTGGTTTGCGACGCTCTTATTCCACTCTAGACCCGAGTTCGAATCTTGTTAGTGTCATTTTCTTAGTCAAATAGTGCCACAGTTTGAATTTTTTTCCCCTATATTTGTTTCTTATAGTGAAATAGTGTCACCGTTTGAAATTTAATCTGGATCAGTCCTTGTAACAAAGTACTTCAATATGACATAATAAAAGGTAACCATACCGAATATGTAATCAGAATATATGGTTCTATGGTGAAATATTCAAGCTATTATAAGTTTTCAACAACTTGGCCACCAATTGAGTTGATATATATATATTTTGTTTTGTTGTCGTCGTCTTACATTCATATATTCCATCTGTCAAGACAAATTATTTACAACGTGCAATCCGCATTAGTTCCTATTTATATGTCGTATTTTATCAATGTTTTTATAGTTTGTCAAACAAAATACAAAAATTTATATTTGCACAAACACCAAAGTTATATAAACGGATCTCTGTAACGATAAATTAAAAGGGATTCATTTCTAGATACTTGAGAAAATACATATATATTATTGAAATTAACACCCTTAAATAATCTTCGTTAAAATATCGTCCTCGGTTTTAAAGTTTATTTATGTCTTTTTTTTTATTAACTGGATATCCAACTCATAATGTAAGCCGGCTAATCCTAAGGCGACCACCAGCTTTGCAGGTAGCCTGAAATCATCGCATTTGAACCTCCATGGTCACAAGGGTATTTTTATTCCTTGGATGTTCAAGGTCTGTGTATTTATAGATTCTTTTTATGTGTGTGGTGGTTCAAAAAAAAATTAGATGAACAATTGTGGAGATGGTGACGATGAAGATGATGAATAACCGCAATCTTTAAATAACATTAACATAGATAATAACTAATACCAAAATTATCATATTAGCCTTCAATTAATATCCCACGTGACATGTTTAATAGAAAAATTTTAACGTGGACAAAAATAAGCATCTACTAAGAATCTTGTGATTCGTTGTTAAGAGATGATTTCAAGATGATTTAGTAATTAATCTTTTTTATGACGAAGGGACAAATGGTCGATGCCCATTTCTGTTTAGGTACTCGATTAATTTTTTTGATAACAATATTGCGTTTATGAAACTAAAATTTTTATGGGCTTGGTTATACGTCTCATTCTAAGTATGTATCATGTGTAAGACAACGTTAGAATATAATATATGAAATAAAAAATCTAACAACAAAAGTTAGAGCATTGAATTAGCGTTCTTGTGTTTGTGTGTACATGCATGTGAGAAAAGATTACGAATAGAATTTTTGTGCCAAAACAATGAAACAGTCAAGCCAGAACCAAGAATCAGGCTATGTACACTCAACACTGTCATATGCATATATCCGTGTAAGCCTATATTGAGGGGTTTGTCACATATTAAAAATGAAGTTCTTGTGTGAAAATAGTGATAGGATTAAAATGGAGACCACAATCCGAACATATGCACTCTACACAGCGGTGTGGGTATGTTGCATGATCGTGTATGTCTATTGACACTAGCTAGGTAGCCCATGCTAGTTTTTATCAAGTTCTGGCACCCCCATGTTATCTTGAAGTTGTAATGTATTCTAGATCAGTGCATAATGATTAGTAAGCCCGTTAACTGTACTCCTTGAATCTTGATCAATTCAAGTGATTAGACACATGTATGGCTTGTGTATGTAGCATTTATACATGTGCAGCTAGAGAGGTGAAGTCAAGTGATTTGAAACTGAAATACATACAATTGTAAATGTTCAACAATGTTCCAATATTTTATACATGTACATTATTTTCATATGCATTTAATATTTATGAAATTTTATAAGTGTGATATGTGTGTATAATTTTTTTGTGAAGCATGCTAAATCTTTGGAGTACAAGTATGTTATACATGTGTAATGGTATGAGGTCATATACATCCAACGTTCAACATCTGTTTGGCATTGTACATTCAGATGTCAGGGGGCTATGGGTGGACAGCCAGCCCATTACTATTTGTATAGTTAAAGTATAAAAAGTTTAGTGTAATTGTTACTTAAGAGATTTGAACCCAAATCATCTCGTATGATTAAGAGGCCATGCTTTCTCTTTTTCCCTTTTCCAGTTAATTTTGTCTTTTTTATAACAAACATTGATTTGAAATAAAATTAGTAGCATCCAACAATTAACATTTGTATGACTTATTATTTTAAGAAGATCATATAATAATACTTGAAAATTTATTATTTTTGTCATGTCTATCATTTTGTCAAACATGTTTATCCAATAAAGTGGGTGTGGATATATACAAATATCACCATTACATTTTAATATTATAGTTTTTAGTAAACATACTTGATTAAATTTACAATGTTTAAATGATAAAAATATTAAAATTAAAAGTATGATGTTGTAACAGAAATTGGTGATGTTATAATAAATTAACTTTAAAAGTATAATGCTATAATAACAAATGTCATGTCAGCACTATCGTACATGTGGACAACCTATGTGAATGATGAGGTGGCAAAGAAACCTGGTATAATAGGTAAATTTAACCTAAAAGATTACTCAATGCTATAACGGGTAAATTTTTGAAAGTACGATGCTCTAATAAAAAGTATTTTGAAAGTATATTGTTGTAATAAGAAAAACTGAAAGTAGAATGCTATAATAAGAAAATTTGTAAAAGTATGTTGATATTTCACGTATATAGCTTTTGATATTATATTATAAATTATATTTATATTAGTTTATATAAATTATATATACATAATAAAACATAAAAACTGACACACACATACATATACATATACATATATATATATATATGTATGTATTTATGTGTGTGTATGTATGTATGTATGTATGTATGTATGTATGTGTATATTACGATTAAAGAAAAACAAAAACATACATAACCGAAGACGAAATTTGTTCAAATGTGTTAAAAACTTATTATAACAAAATTTTTGTGTAAAATTTGTAATAAAATAATAAAAGTATTCTATTTGATGCAAAATTATTAAGAAGATCTATAATTTAAGGATATGAAATATACTTTTAGTATTCTATTTGATGCAAAAAATGATGTAATGCATCGATGGAATTCAATTACTATAATCTACACCAAGTTTTACATCATTTGCTTGAAGAAATTGTGCAAATGATTGGATATTGACTAACACTATTTAAACATTGTTGCAAACCCTAAAACATTTTACGTTTTTTTTTTTCCGTTTGAAACACGTTTTAACGTTTTCGTACAGGACATCAAAAAGCCTTGAACCGAACTTTTCAGATGTTACATGCTACTTGTTTAATTCTAATCTTTTTTCTTTCTAGTTTTGATGTTTATAAATAGGTTAACATTTAACCACAAGGGTGGTGTCTGATTGATTTAAGTTTGGCTCCAAAGGTTAAAAGTATCAGAAGGTCTCAGGTTCAAATCAAAGGATGAATAAAAATCTTCTTATGGTCATGGAGGTTTAAATGCGATGATTTTAGACTATCTGTAAAGCAGGTGGTCGGCTCGAATAGCTGGTTGATATTCAGGTTTATCAAAAAAATGTTAACGTTGAAATAATATGTTTTTGAAAATAGTAAATAAGGGTTGGGTAGTGGTCTAGTGGACCAATAAAGTTATGTGGGGCCAAACCCGAACCCAAATCTATAAATTAATACTTTCCAATAAACCCTAAGGTTGCGTTTGGTTTGCGGGATTGGAATAGATTTGGGGATTTGGATTTGAAAATTCATTCCAATCCTGTGTTTGGTTTGTAGGAATGGTAGGATTTCAAATCCAATGATTCATTTAAAATCCCGTGAACCATGGATTTCAAAATCCTTTGAAAATACATGGGATTTCAAAATCCCATCCCCGTGGGATTTCATCTTCTCCATCTTTTCGTCTCCATCTTCTCCCATCGATTGCTTCACCCATCGCTTCCCTCCCATACGCCTCCCGCTTCCTTCACCCATCGCTTCCCTCCCATCGATTGCTTCACCCACGCCTCCCGCTTCCTTCCCGTCGCGTCCCTTGCGAAGCTGTGCCCTAGGTTTGCCTCCTCMCCGGTGYTGTCTTCCTCGCCGGTGCTGTCTTCCTTCCCGTCGCGTCCCTTGCGAAGCTGTGCCCTAGGTTTGCCTCCTCGCCGGTGCTGTCTTCCTCGCCGGTGCTGTCTTCCTTCCTGTTTGCCGGCGTCTCCCATCACTCAGCAGGTAATCGATTAACCCCTTTTCTATAGCATTAGAAATGCTCGATTCTGTTCTGCTTGAATAGAAAATGCACAAGGGTTCTGCCCTAATTTCCTGTAATCAAATCCAAATCCTGCAAACCAAACACAGGAATGGATTTTAAATCCAATACAATCCAAATCCCATGGAATATCCAAATCCCTCCAGGAATCCAAATCCCTCAGAAACATTCCCGCAAACCAAACGCACCCTAAAAGCTTTTCCGTTCAAATCCTGATCTCGTTTTCCGATCAACATGGATGCTAACGTGGGGACTTCCGCCGGACAGCTGAAGAAGAGGACTTTTAAGAAATTCACCTACAGAGGAGTTGATTTAGAAGCTCTACTTGATATGCCTACTGATGAGCTTTGTGAAGCTCTTCCCAGCTCGTGCTCGTAGAAGGTTTTAATTTAATTTCTAATTTTGATCATTTTTCATGATCGTTGATCAATTAAATCTTTCACATTCGACATGTTAATCTGCAATCGGATGATTTTGAAGTTTAGTTTTACGTTCGTACTTCAATTTGTTTTAGGCTCCACCGAGGATTGAGATCGAAACCGATGGCTTTGATTAAGAAGATGCGCAAGGCTGTATGTGCTTCTTATTAACCATACTTCTTCTTCTTTTACATTCACAATACCTTGTTGAATTGAAATCTCGATTGCATGCAATATCCTTTGTATATACAACTAATTACTGTTCGTGTTATTTGTTTTGTAGTATAGTGAGAAACCGTTGGTTCATTATTGATCTTTCAGATTCATGTTTAAGAGATCTGAATGAAAATTGAAGAGTTTTTATACAATTAATGCCGTTCTTTTTCTTTGTTCACCAAATCTGAGGGAAAATGTTGGTGTATTTGTTTCTTGTAGGTTAATACCATTCACAGCTTCACGTTCCATTTCTTTTTGTTGCATAATCCTGTATGAAGTCATCACTTTCCTGCTTTTCAATAAAAGAGATTTTATTGTACTTTTTATTTTAGTTACTCATCTTAATGTGACCTCCTATGAACCAATTCCATCTTCGCATAGAATGCTAAATCCAGAACAAATGTACAAATTTCATTGAAAATAGTACAAGTGACTGATGCATGATTGCTCTAAAATTTTGGAAATTATTCCTGGCTATGGAAAAAGATGACAAAAAAGTTTAAAGAGCATCAAGCATATCCTGAGCACCACTGGAAGTGAAAGCACCGCCTTCTTCAAGATTCAATACCTTCACAACCCCATCTTCTAGAAGCATCGCGTACCTTCTTGACCTAACCCCTAATCCGATGGCATTATCGCTCAGATCCAATTCACACCCAATTGCCTTGGTGAAATCGCCGTTCCCGTCGCTCAACAGCAGCACTTCGTCGCCGATTTTCCGGTCGGCCTTCCATGCCTTCATTACAAATGCGTCGTTGACGGAGATACATGCGATTGTACTCACGCCTTTGGCTTTGAGGTCGCCGGATTTCTCGACGAATCCGGGAAGGTGTTTCTGGGAACAAGTTGGAGTGAAGGCGCCTGGGACGGCGAATAGGATGGTTTTCTTGGATTTGGTGAGTTCGGAGATGGTGGTGGTTTGGAGTTCGCCGTCTGAGTCGAAGTAAGATAAGGTGGCTTCGGGGAGCTTGTCACCGACGGAGATAGTGGCGGTGATTTTGGGAGTGGTGGAGGATTTGATGGAATGATGGTGAGAGAGTTGGGAACGGAGAAATGTGATTGGGTGGAAAGAGTAAGAAGAGGAGGAGGTAAGAGAAAGGTGTTTGGGGTTGGGATTGGGATGGAGGAGAGAGGAGGAGGTGCGGTGGCGATTGGTGGCAGAGGAAAAAGCAAATGAAGCTGTTGCGGCTGCCATTTTTACTGGTGGGACTGTGAGAGTACCACTGTGTGTTTCAGGGGATATTAAGATGATAATTTGGAGGGTAGCGTAAAATGGACGGAGGAAATTATGACTCTGGAAAGGAGTAGTAAACTATGCTACCCGTGAATAAGGATAAGGAGTAGTATATTAACGGTTTTCAGAAAGGAGCAAAAACATTTTTATTTTGATTTCTTTTTTTAGCCATAGGCGTCGGATCAATTTATACATAGGTGCTATGGTTTACACCCCACCAATCATCTATTTTTTTTTATTTTTTCTATAAAACCTCTTATTAGAGAAAATACATATCATTTACTTTTTTTTATTTTCCTAGATTTTGATTTTTCTAGATTTTGATTTTGAAGATGGACATGTATTTATTTTTTTAATTTTTCTATAAAGCTGCAAAAAATATATCTTATTTATTTATTTTTAATTCTCTATAATTTTGACTTTGAATATATTTAATTGGGTGTTATGGTTTCCCAGAAATCTTGAATTCTTTGCTTTCTTTCTTGAATTTTGCTTTAACATTAATATCTTATAACTGATTTTTTTAATTAATTAATTTAATTAACTATATCTCCAATTCTTTTAAAATGAAACAAAATTTTCAAATAAAAAAAAATACATTTAATACCAACAACTTTTTTATTCTGAAGATTTAAAATATTAATTATATTACTAAAATATCAAATTATATATTTCTCTCTCTTCTTCAATCTATATATTGATTTAATAGTTTTAAGTCTTTATATTTTAACATTTAAGACAAAATACATTTGTATATGCAGGTGAGTGTATTCCCTTGGATTCAATAGATATATTCTAGAGAACGCTAAATATTTCACCGGTAACATCTTTCTAAAGTGACAATATTTGTTGCGACGCTGAAGTAAACCATTTTAAAGAGCATTTCAACAAGCAGTCTGAAATTGGAAAAAGAAAGTTGGTTGACATATTCAATCCAAGTAAAACTACCATGAAAGCGCCCACGATTAAGAGAAACACTCGTGGACGACCGAGTTTGAAAGCACAACAACAAAGACATGTTCCTCCTAAGAGTAAAGATTCACAAACACGTAGCCAGTCAGCGAGATTTTTTGGGGTTGATTTGAATGTCGAACCGGAAAGACATAGTTGTTACACGAACTATCAAACAAATTATGACCGCGATCCGATCCCAGATCTAAATGAGGATACGGTGAGACATAGTTTGTTTGTGGATTTAAATGAAGAGCCGACTATGGAAGTCCCAAACTTAAACCAAGAACCTGTGACAAACCTTTTACTCGATCATATTTCAAATATTTTTCATCGCTATATTAGACGTTTAAATAATGTCAAAGGTGATGGAAACTGTGGATTTCGGTCAATTGTCGTCGGCCTTGGTCTCGATGAAAATATGTGGCCTGCAATTCGACAAGAGTTGTTACAAGAGTTAAAGTATCATGAGCAAGATTACATGGATATATTGACTCCTATAGGCTTTAATTACATTTGGAAGACCGTGGATTTTTCGGGAACTGGTTTTTGCCCCAATGGATAAATGGATGTCTATGTCAGATACAGGGTTAGTCATCGCTTCATTTTATAGGAGACCGGTTGTATTCATATCCATGGTAGGTAGTTCTACGTGCTTTCCGCTTTGGTCTGATCCACATGAGTCAGAATCAACTGGCCCCATAGTTGTTGCACGTGTGGGGGGGGGGAGTCATTTTATTAATCTATTGCTACGAGAAGGTTACCCAATACCGTCAACTCACCTACAATGGAGGAGGTATAGGATTGATAGGGCATCTGCATGGGAAGACATGTATTCAAGTCGACAAATGTAACATTTTCGTGATTGTAATCTTTACTCTCTATTTACGAAAGTTGTTATTATAGTTGTTATATGTTTTTACTTTTTTTTTTATTTTAAGTTATCACCAAGAATCCAATGATACATATTAGGTAGCAAAATTGAAGTTTTGAAAGTATTTTATCCAAAATAAAAATCAAATTAAAGTATGTTACTTTTTCATGCAATTTGTCATTTGATTAATTAAGTATGTGAACATACTTTTAATAAATAAATCTTTACCCAGGGAAGCTTAGATTAACCGATTAGTAAAAGTTCAATGATTTATTTATTTATTTTAAAAAAATCAGGGTCTTTATCATTCAAAATGTAAAAGTTTATTTTTTTTTTAATTTAAAAAAATAGTTTAAAAACTTAATTATTTAAAATAAAAAAAGTAATGGTTTTATAATTTAAAAAATCAATTTATAAACTAAACCCTACCTAAAGTAAACAACAATTTAAAAAATTGAAAATAAATAAAGGCTATTATTGAACAATGATTACAAGTAAATAAATAAAGGGTATTATTGAACAATGATTATAAGTAAAAAAAAGGGTATAATAGAAGTATTATGGTGGGTGTAAATCCTAAATAGGTGGGGTGTAAACCCACCCACCCTTTATACATATATCGATTAATCCCAAGGTTTTAATAAACAATCAGAAAAATCCTCACTGGTATCATATATATCTGCAAATTCGTTTACATTAATTTATAAAAACATTTGACTTTTTTGAATTGGGTTCAAAAATGTATCGTTTTTTCTCATTTATATAAGATGAAAATTGAAATTTGTCTATGCCTGATAAATAAAAAATGTATCATTTTTAGATATTTTATTTAATTAAATATTTTTAAAATGTATATCAATTTAAATTTATCGTAATGAAAAATAAATTGCCAATTAACAATCACACATTTTCATTGTACGAACAAGTGTAATTTACAAAATAAAATACGATTTACTCTGGTGTAAATGAGCAGGATTCCACCACTTTGGTTGGCACTTGCAGTGTTTCATCCCCCGTAAAACTTTTAATATTAGAATATTGGTGTTGGGTTTGATAATAACGAACACTTAAATTAGGATTTAGGAGAGGAAAATGCTTATTTTATGTTAGAATATGGTCAAATTGTTATATTTATTGCAAGCTCAAAAAACATTTTGCAAACCGACCCCACTTGAGTCATACTTAATTCATAGAAACTAAAAGAACACTTACAAGATCTTGATTATTTTTAATAAATTAAAAAAATGGTTAAAAAGTAAAAATGTTAGTCGAAAATTATTAATTTGGTCGATTTCACTTTTTTTATTTTCACAAATGAGAAATTGGTATAAGATAAAATGTTTGAAAAAGTTTAGCATTGTGTAGTAGCTGATTTGGACAGTAGTCTAGGGGACAATAACGAGCGTACTGATTGTAGCACTAAACAGACAATAAACACCATCGACCTGGTGACTAAAAACAAACAACAAACCACTAGATGATGTAATTATGTAAAGAGCTACCAAATCTTGAATAGACTCTTATACCATAAAGAAAAAGTAAATTGGCTTATATGATTGCATCTTAAAGGGTTATTATCATAAATAGCAACATGGGATAAAAACTTAAAAAGCATTTTCAAACCTTTTTTTGTCACAAAACAACCAAATAAACGGCATTGCCTTTTTTTTTCCGCAAGTTGAGGCACGTCCTTGCTGGAAGTTGTCATTTATACTCTTTTACTTCACTCACATACATCTAGTTCTTACCCCCATCTGACTCACATACTCTATAGGAAAGGGTATAAATAGAATTCAATGTTCTTGTTCTGCCGAAATCTCCGCCTTGAGTTTGCTTTTTGTGCATCGACGCATGTCCTTGTATTTTTTTGGCTATTTTATGGGAAAATATTGGAAGTGGTTAAAAAGTAAATTTTTTTCTCCAGATGGTCATTTATGATAATAACCCTTCCGTTTCATAAGCTAACAACAACATTTCACAAATCTATACCATCAGAATCAAACTTTTTTAGAAGTATATTTCACGAGTTGCAAAATAGGTACTTGTAAAATAAACTATTTTAATCAAATTCGAAATATATAGGATAAAAATTGAATATAACGGTACTTTTTAGCTATTTTGAGCAATTTCCATACAAAAAAACGAACGCAAAATGCATTTTGTTTGTCAAACATATCTTTAAATGATTTTAGAGATCTTTATATTTATTTATCAAAATATCAATTAATTTCTGATCTAAGTTTGTTGTGGAAGCGAACTACTAAAAAAGTCATCAAATCGCACAAACCATCTCACCAAATTAATTATACGTCATGTTTGTATCAAAAAAACGATATTTAAGAACTCAAAGAAAAAAGTATAAGTCATTTTAGAGTTGTTTTACAAGTTTAGTGAAATTTTCTTATGTATTTGGATTTAATATGTTATGTATTAATCTTCGTAATGTATATATTATCAAGCTTTGAATTGTTTCAAATTTTTGATTAGAAATATTATGATGCAATTGATGGTATATTTTTAATTAGCATTAAATACAGATCACGCAACACATAGTGGTGTGGTTTTTAGAGTCCGAAAGCATATCAAATTTAGAGGAAAAGATAGATCTAAAGAAATCTCATCCGTCTATTTAGGATAATGTATATTTGATTTTGTAAATATCTTGATTGTTTTTAAATCTAAAGTTAATCTATACTATATTATAAAGCATTTAACAAAAAATTTAAAAAATTATTTTTTTATGCATGAAGTACTGCATATTGATGCATGTTACTTAAAATTTAAGATTACAAGTAAATTATGCCTAAGTATAACTTATTGAAGCTCAATGTTTGAATTCGTGTAACTAACTGCGAATAAACATAACCAAATATAGGATAAATATTTCATTTTAAAATATAAAAAATTTAAAATATAATTAGGATAATTATCGAGTTATAACAAAATAATTAATTATTATTTTTATAAGAAAATTATATTATTAAACCAAATATAAATTATCTCGTTATTGAACCTAAATTAAATTATAATAAAAAATTTGAAGTAAAAAAAAACACAAAAAATAGGAATTTTAAATAGTTAATTTGATACTAATATCGATATATTTTTGTCAAATTTTTATGATATCTTCAAATTTATGTTTTATTAAAAAATAAAAACATCTTCATTTTTTCAAAAACACATAAAATCATACTATAACATCGACTGAAATAAATAATAAAATGAAATATTAAAATCAAGATGTATCTCACTGCATTGCGCAAACACTCTTCTAGTTATAATAAACAAATTCTCATCGTTTTCTATAAATGTCTTAATTGTATGGTTGTATTAATTAAGAGTTTTGTAGATGGAACTCTAAAAACCTAAAACTATATTTTAGTAAAATCAATGACCTGTATGAAACCATTTTTATTTTAATACATAACGAGGTCATGTATTTAATTAAAATATTGTTTAAAATAATAGAGTTTGAATCATTTGCAAACCTCCCGATCCATGCCAAACCGAAAACCAAATTTTGAGGATAAGACGAGTTGGTTAGTTGGACCGGCCTTGGCCATGTGCAGCCTATGCGACCGAACGGGACATCAAAGCCCAATGGGGCATGAAGTCGTCATCTATTACTTGTTTTGGGTTTAATAATTTGGGAACTCGACAAGTGGACTTTAGCTATTTAAATAAGCCCAAGGCCTGGTAGTGATGGATATTGAATGCACATCATGAACTGATGAACACAAGCTAATTTCTATTCTTTTTCAAAATTCGATTGTTCCAATTTTCAAGACATGGTGTTCTGTTTTCGGCTGATTAACGACCATGAAGGTGGTAGATTCAATAAATTGAAAATGGAAATCCCAAATGGTCAATTTCTATTCTGGGAGTCATATTATGATTTATGAATATCTTTTAAATTTTTTTGCAAAAAAAATCTGAATTTCTAATTGATATATTATAAAGTTGTATCATATGTGGTCTTTTGGGTCATTGACTTACTGGGCTAACGCCTGATGGGTTACTCACTTACCGGAAAAGAAGGAAAAACGATCTTAATCCAAATTTTATCTTTCTATCATTCTATATTTTGATTATGTTCAAAACCCCTTTAAAAATCACATATTTCGTCGTTTCATTTAGGGGTCGTTTACCCAAATGCTTACTCGGTAAGCGCTTATTGATATAAATCAATACTATCATTTATTCTGATGTGTAAGAATTTAGTACATCAAAACATATCGAATGCAACAATTTAATGGGTAAGCGCTTACCTGGGTAAGAGTCATCATCCTCATTTACCGGGTAAGAGTCACCATTCTTTCCCATCGCTCTTACCCGATAAAACTTTTGACCCTTCTCATATTCATCCGATGAAGAAATTTATCCGATAAATACTTACCGGCCCTATTAGTTAGCCCCAATGTTACCAAAATCTCTTGATAAAATCAATGGTATGATAATAGCTGTACTTTTAAAATTAAATATAAATTTTTTGACCAACAAACGCAATAAATGGTGCAAACAAATTTAGTCACATTAGGGTCATCCCAAATAGAGGAAAATAGAGAAAATAGATAAAGTAGAAGATATAAGGGTTTTTTTTTCTCAAAATATGAAGATCATCAAAAAAAAAATTTGATTATCAAGTAAGACCATTAATAAGAAACTTAAAAAATAAATATTTTAATATTATAATCAATGTTGGATTCACTAACGGAGTATCTGTTGGAAATGAATGTAATATCTTTTTGAATATTTTGATTTTTGGTTCTCTGTTTTGGTATAAATTTTAAGGAATCCGTCGAAGATGCTCTAACTCCGGTAGATCGAGAGTGAAATCATATAAATTCAAACACCAAGTTATGCGCATTCTGTATATACTTATAGTGATGACATAAGAATTTGAACAAAACCACCTATTTCAAATGGATTTGTAGATTATAAGAACTCAAGGATCAAAAACACAAATCAAAAGGGTTTTCTGCATTTGAAGTTTGAAAACTAATGAACAGTACCGGTACTAAAACAGCGCAATTGACAAAATGCTTCTGAAACAGCGCTGATATCGGAAGTTTTCATGACGATCGAAACTAAAAAAAAAAACGCTTAAAAGTGTTGGCTAAAAACCCCAATTCACACACACTAATCGTACCATGACTGTAACTGCCTTCCAATCGCAAAGGAAAGATAAGCATCAAGACACACATACAAAACCTGTTCATTAGAGAGGTGATCGTTGTCCCAGTCATTCATTCTCACCTTCAGTTGCTTCTCGTGGTCAACATCCTTACGCAGAATCACCTTCGCCAGTTTCTTCAACCCAACCTTCCTAAGATCCGGATCCGTCAACTCATGCGCTGCCATTTCGCGCAGATCGGCCGTTTTCGTCACTTCCAGAGAGTAATCCCTGTACAGTTTCTGCTTGTCGTTCTCGATCCCCACTCCAACAAATGTGTAATTAGGATTTTTAAGAAAATTCTTCAAATCGTCAGGGATTTTATGGGCTTTTTGGAGTTGGTAAATCAGGCAGCTTCTGCTGACGAAGAGCTGGAGGATAGCGACGGGGTTGTCTTGTCCGTGTTTGGTATTTGGACGCCATTCAATATCGAGACCGACGATGAGACGATGGAGCCGGCTATGGTTCCAATTCTCGGTTCCTCTGATCCACTTTTCTGCCTTTGCTCCAACGTGTCACCCAAGTTTCGAAGGGGTCGTCGTCGACAATCACGTCATATTCAACATCACCTTCTGAACGCCCATAGAATACAATCTCGAACTTCATCTCCATGAGAGAGGACGTGAACGTAGACATGGTAAATGAAGTTTCTCCAACAAACCATACAGATAATCAAGGATACGTGCTTTTAACCCAAAAATAGAAAGTGGTTACGAAGAAGATTCTTCCAGGTCGGGTAATATGCATAGTTCCGGTTATCCCGTACCTCTCCACGGCCCAAATAAAGATTCTTCCGGGTCGGGTAATGGGCGTCTTGTGTGTAGACGAAGGGTTGGGTTTTTTTAACGTAGCTTTTTTAATAATTTAGCTCTCTCTTGACTAATGTCATAATTTCATTGTAAACAATTACTAAACAATTATATTTTATTTTATACCTATATCACTAAAGTATAGGGATTAAACCGTTGATTTTAAAAATGCAAGGAGTGAAATGAAAAAATAAAGTTCTGCTTTTAAAATGCAAAATTCCACAGCGAAGAGTAGAAATTGAGTAGAAAAAGGTAAAATTTTAAAGATCGAAAACTTAAATTTTGTTAAACGAGCTTGATCTTTTAAATAGACGTAACAAACTTAATTACAATTAAATAAGAAAACAATCTTAATTATAATCAAATAAGGAAAACTCTCATAGAAAATAAACATCAAGAAACAGAAAAAATAGGAGAAAAAGGAAGATAAAGGACAAAATCCTTTAAAAGGGGAATCTCACAGCGACGGAGTTCTCTTGGCAAACTGCATCTTAACAGCTGCTAATGGATTTCAGTTCCCTTCTCAACTCCTTCATTCCTTCTTGGAATTCTGTACGTGAGTGATTGGGTACTTGTTCTACACACTCACACACACACACTCACACTCACAAATGAGATTATTGATCGATTTTCCACTATGATGCATGCTTATATGGTGAAAGTGTATGAGGGTTTCACAAGTGACCATTGGGCACATGCATCGATCGCTTTCACTAGTGCGGAATGTTGGTTTATGGTGTTCGATTAAACAAGAGAAGGAGTTCAATTTGTTGCCTCCTTGCCCTTTTGATTTAGGGCACCGCCATTGAAATAGCATATCATGTTTGAAAAATTAGAAAGAAATGCATGTGTCTGTGATGATTTTTTGATGATTAATGGCTTTATTATTAGGTTGGTTTATTACTGGGATTCTTCAGTTACTTGGGGATTGCTGGATCTATTTTACCTGGAAAACTTGTTCCTGGAGCGAGTTTAGCTGATGGAACTAGACTCCATTATCGCTGCAATGGTAATTTTCTTGCTTTATTTGCAACTTTAGAAGTAGAGTAAAATTTTGGATCTCTGTTATATACATTTTCCCTTAAAAAAACATATAATTATGACAATTGAAGTGCTAGTAGTCTAGGACTCATTTCTCAAATGGGTGTCATTGAATGACATGCTCATAAATGCTATTAGAATTTTGGGTTTAAAATGACAAAAAATCACATACAACTTTCATATGAACTCTTTTGAAGTATAAAGTATTCAGCAAAGACTACCAATCAGAAACTGTTGGTACCAAGTTTCTTTGCTATAGAATTACTAGGTTTTGACTTTTGGAAGTTTAAAGAGTAGTTCTTTTCGTGGATTGGAGGGAGTATCTATTGTTTTGAGGAGGGAGAATAAGGTTAGCAAGTAGCAAACATTTAATTTAGTAACTATATTGGACTTATTCACACAGTTGGATTATGTTGTGGTCCTTGAAATTGAACGAATATAATGAAAATCGAAGTTCCATCATAAAAACTGGCGTGCATGTGCCTAGAAGTGCCATTTGCTACGGGTTCTAAAGCATTTGGCAAAGATCTGATTGCTCCGGCGTTTAGGCTAATATATTCTATACTGCATACTTTCTTTGGCGTCTTTATGGAAACAGCCGCTCTACTTTTTGGAGTAGAGGCCAGGTGTGCGTGCATCCCACCTCCGATCCACTGAGTAGGATATGCTGGGCTAGTTTGGTTTGGTTATTCTTTACTGCATACTTTCTGTTTTCAGGGTTGCTATCACTTCTTTTGCTGGTTGGACTACTAGTGATTGGAGCTTGGATGGATTATGTATCACCCACTGTATGTACTCCCTGAAACTGTATAACAAAATGATTGTATCATTGTATGAAATCAAGCAATCTTTATTTCATGGAAAACAAATCTCTGGTTTGTTCAATCTAAATGTGCTGCATGTCTTGTTTTGTACAGATTTTTTCATTGACCCGTTGTACTTTTTCCTTTGAAAAGTCGTCATACACTCCAAAAATAAGTACAACTTGATCAGATTTTAACGATGTTATATGTATTTTAGGTCAAAAGAAAGCGTTATTCAACTATACAAAAACTGCATAACCATGACAGAAGCTAGAAACACATTCTTTCTTCTTTGACTTAGGTAGCCACAGAAATGAACCCATGAAGAGATTAAAAGCAACATATTCCCTGGAAACAAACGAGAAGAAAAGGCATAAACAAATTATCAGACACAACATATTCCCTGGATTGATACTGCTGTATGATTGTTGGGAGTATATGTTATCTTCACCATTTAGGTCAATGAATGTGTTACAAATTACAATGGCCCTCTTAACTGTTAAACATACGCCCTTTCCATCAAGTATTTTGCTAATATGTTATATTTTATTAGGTAGAAGGCATATTTCTCGTTTTGGGTGCATAGGAATTATATTCCAAGTACGCCTTTTTTAGGTCTGCATCACCTTTCTACATCCACAATTATGTCAGCTTGTGAATTTTGCAGGCAATATCTGATCGGGGGTGTGAGCTTCTATCAACAACTTTTATCTTCAGTGTTGTTGTAAGTTCCACTTTTCAATCATAGAGTTTCCAATCACAGGAATAGCCACTCACAACTGTTTCCATGCCACCTATTCATTTCTGCCATGAACTCTACTCTTATGTTTAATTTTCTTTTCTTTTCTTTTCTCTACTGTTTGTCTATAACTTCGACTGTGTTCCTCTCTACCTTCGTAAATCGCAGGCCACGTTGTTACTTTATGTGGCTGGCTGCAAATCCAGTGACCGAAGTTCTTCTCTCAAACCCCACATTACTGGAAACATAATTGATGACTGGTAATTGCGTTTTCTATTTTCTTCTCATAGAAGTAGGAGGGGAATTGTCCACTAAGTTCTCGAAACAAACAGTTAAAAGATTTGACAGCCTACAACAACACCACCCATCCTTTTTACTGCCCTATGAAGGTGTTCAGGTTGCTCCATGATTAACTCAGTATGTATATATTTTCAACATTTTGGGTCATTCACATCGTAGAAGTTGGAATGCAAGCTTAAGCAGTTAAACTTACTGCTAGATCAGGGGTGTTTTGGACTCAAAAAGATTTTTATGGAAGGCCTCTGCATGAGATTTACTGGGTTTGTTTGGTTTGGTTTAATTTTTGATTGAGATGAATAGGCCTGCTCTCTATCATTATGGTTCTATGTTTCATGTCGACATAAGTATATGCTATTGCATAGAATGGTTTCTGTTGACTCGTTTCTCTCCTTGATGCCTCCAATGGCATCCCACAGGTGGTTTGGGATACAGCTAAATCCTAACTTCATGGGCGTTGACCTCAAGTATGTATACCACTTTACTCTTTACTAGATATCTCTCTTACACTTGACACAACCTTTTAGGATGGTACTTGGAACTGTTTCACCTTAACTAATTACCTTTTGAGCTATAAATCTGCAACTGCTTTACTGAACTAAAATTCGGTTCTAGCGTACATGCTTCCATCTGGTCTTTATGGCGGTTCTAAATATTCTATTTTTGGCTTAATTTTACAGCTACTTCCTACATATCCAGCTTGTGTTTCTACGTATGGAAGCTATACAGCTTTTTTGAAGTTTTCAACTAAATTTTTTGTCAAACATTTACTTCTTATTGGGGTTCAAGAATACACAAATTCATGATTCGACTTGCTTTCATGATCCATTTTTTTTATATTGTTGAAGTATATCATATATGATCTGAAGTTTAATTATAATTTCTGCCACCTGGTGTTTACTTGTTCAGACGAAACACTTCTCTTTTGTAGATTTTTCTTCGTCAGAGCTGGAATGATGGGATGGTTGCTCATCAATCTTTCAGTGCTTGCAAAATCTTTCCAAGATGCCAACTTGAGCCATTCAATGATCCTCTACCAGCTATTTTGTGTGGTAATTACGTGGCATTGTCATTCTTTATCATTCTAAAATATTTCAAGTCTTTTAACACTGGTGATTCCTCTCTTTTTCTATTGACCCATCAGATCTACATTATGGACTACTTCTTTTATGAGGAATACATGACATCTACGTAAGTTAATTTCTCCTGGTAAAAATGGAAGAAACTACTTCATTGAGTTGGTTATTTGGAGAAAATGGTGAATGCAATTTTATATTGACCTGGTGATTCATAAAGCAACCGGCTCTCAGAAATACATGCTGGCTAACCGTTACATGTTAACTTGATCTAGTTTTCCCCAATGCTTGTTATGTGTATTCATCCACCTTTATGTTGGTCTCAATGTAGTCATGGATTCTAGATTTATTGTTGTTATAATGCTTATTTACATGTTTATTTAGATGGGATATAATTGCAGAGAGATTGGGCTTCATGCTAGTATTTGGAGATCTAGTCTGGATCCCCTTCACGTTTAGCATTCAGGTAAGAAATATGAAATTTACAAGATAACCAAGTAACAATGAAAGATTATGCTAAATCATTTCTATAATATATTCTCTTCCACCACCACCACCCCTTCTTAATTCTCATTTAACTTGCATATGTTAGAAACTAGCAATGAGTTCATGTCATATTTTCAAACTGTGGAAGGTCCATTATAAAGAGTCGTACTAGCTTGGCCGTAAAAATATTTACTAGCTCAGTACGATGAGTTGCAACATAAATCGGGTATTCAGGAAACAGTCTCTTTACCTCTTGGGTAGAGCGTACATCTTACCCTCCCCGGACCCCACTTCAGTTCGGATTTACTGATTTGATTTAGTTTGGTTTGGTTTGGTTTGATTTTGCGTGCAAATATAAATTCTCATAATCACCTCCACTCTCTAAAAATAAATGCCATATGCTTTATAAGAGAGTCACAGTTTGACCAGCTCAAAGTTTGTAAGAATTCTTTATATCATCCATAAGAAAGATGACGCTTACATTAACTAAATAACATATATTGCAATTAGAAAAATGCCCATGTTTTATCCATAATCTTAATTATGACAAAAATGGTGGTGGGATAAGTACTTCCTTTTTGTGATTAGGGTTGGTGGCTTCTGAATAACAAGGTGGACCTTACAATTGCCGCAGTTATTGCAAATTGCTGTGTGTTTGTGATTGGGTAATGTTTTACAAGATAAAAGTTGGCTTTTGACCCTCTTCATGTCTTCATATGCTTATGTTGCAATTTGGTTGAACTTATTGGTAGGTATGTGGTCTTCAGAGGAGCTAACAAGCAAAAGCATGATTTTAAGAAGAATCCCAAAGCACTAATATGGGGTAGGCCCCCAAATGTCATTGGGGGGAAATTGCTGGTTTCTGGCTATTGGTAATGTTCTCTCAACCATTTCAGCTTGAATTTCGTACTTTTTTCATTTAACCAAACCAAAGGTGGGGTCAGGGAGAGTAAGATGTAAGCAGACTCTTCCTCTATCTCAAGGAGTAGAGATGTTTCCTTGAAGACCCCCCCCCCCCCCTTTGCAAACAAGAAAAAAAATAATATGCGATAGCAAGGTAAGAAGAAAAACTAAGATTGACTAACGTGCCTTTGGCCTAACAGTATCCAAGCATATGGCTTCCTAGGAGGTCAGGTGTTCAATCCTAACCAAAGTTGATGAGGGTGTGTGAGTTTATTTGTTGCATTTTCTGTATATAAATATTATATACTTCAAAAAGAAAAACTAAGATCTGACATACCGTAGAAGTGGGAAAAACCACCTCCAATGTAGTTGATATTTAACTGAATTTTCTCTATCCTTCGTCATGGAAAATTTTATGTTCAATATCAGTATGTAACTATGTTTATGTGTTTTAGCGACATACTTTTCTTCATTTTTCTTTCTTTTCTTATTTATGAAGGGGAATAGCAAGGCACTGTAATTATCTTGGAGATCTGTTATTGGCATTATCCTTCAGCTTACCCTGTGGAATGAGGTAAATTTTGCAACTGTTTGGAGATAAATACTACTGTTCGAAAAAAACGCCTGCTCCAAGAAATGATGCATTAATTTTAAAGGTCAAACGGGTTTCATTTTGATCTCGAAATTGCCATCATTTCGTCAACTTTTGGAGAAAATTTATGACAACTGCCTTAATCTTGCAGCAGGAAAATGTAAATGAACTAGTTTTGGTGCTTGGTTTCATAACAAAATCTTGGAGATAATACGGTCAAAAAGCATTGTATTTGACTTTTAAAAGTCAATCACCAACTGATCTTTAATAGAACGATATGAACCATATGATTGCAGTTCTCCGGTTCCATACTTCTACCCGATATATCTTCTGATTCTGTTGATATGGCGAGAGAGAAGAGACGAAGCTCGATGTGCAGAGAAGTACAAAGATGTGTGGGAGAAATACCGCAGGGCTGTCCCCTGGAGGATTCTGCCGTACATTTACTAGTGAGCGAGCGAGCGAGTCTTTCAGGTTTTTGAAATTTTAGAATTAAATTTGGGTCTAAATGAGCACAGCCATTTTCATTTTATGATGGTGTATTAGAAGAATGAGTTTGGGGCTTGGTGTTTGGTGCAACAATTGAGGCTTTTTCTCATTTTTTGTGTGTGTATGTTTTGTTGATTTCAATGGCCAAGAGAATCTACAGTATCTTCAACAATTATGCTATATTTTCTCTTTCATTCTTTTAAATTTTGAGATTTTTTTTTTGTTTTTTCTTTATTTAAGAGCAGAATTTAGGATAACTGATCAGGTAGATCTTCAAAATTTTCTAAAATATTATAGCTGTTGAAAGACTCTTAATAGTTTGAAAAGTCCCGATCAACCATTAAAGAACCGATTCTTGAACAGTGGTTGGAGATGGGAAATGGGCCTGATTCGGTCCTTCAGGCTTGGGCCTGGGCTTAGTTATCAATCAAATGGTAAATTACATGAAATAACAATCTTTTTTTTGAAAGGCAAAAAAGGAAGGACAAGGAGGAGAGCTTCGGCATGACCATCACCCTCACCAAGCCAACCAAAAATATTAAACAAAACGATCCAGCAAGAAGCTAGACACAAGAGGAAACAAGAATCCACAATAACAAACGAAAACAAAAATAAGCAAAAAGAGACATCCCCAAACTAAAGCCAAGGCAAAACCCAAGCCTAAGACAAGCAAAGAGACTAAACAAGGTAAAGAGAAGAAGACCAACTATCCCAATTAAGATGGAACTTACGATTCCTGTTCCCCATCCAAAGCTTGGAATAATTTTGAACACCTGGGAATGGGTCTTCACCTCTCTTCTTAGCTTCCGCACCATCCTTAGCATGAAAAATTTCATTCCGCCACTTCCAAAGTTGCCAAAGCGCCACGACGCACACTGATAAGAAAATCACTCCAACCTTACGATGAGTACCTACTTGTTTGATCAACATTGTAAAATCAGACACCGAGGAAAGCCGCGGGGCTTTAAGATCCCACCAAGCGCATATTTTCCTCCAAAGAATGCTTGCCACCGAACAAGAGAAGAAACAATGGTCCAAAGTTTCAACACCTTTGCCGCAAAAGATGCACTCCAAAGATTGTAACGGAATTCCTCTTTTTGAAAGATTGAATCTTATCGGAACAGCCTTTAAGGAAGCGTCAAGTGAAGATGTTTACCTTCTTTGGAATTAAAGGACTCCAAAAAAACGGATCTTTGCTTCCAACATTTGTCTCAACCGCCCCTTGAATTAATTTGGACAAGAAGTTGACCGGAAAAAAATCCCGTTCTTGTTCCAATTCCACAACCAAATATCCTCACCCGAAGTATTGAAAACCACAAGAGAGAGTTGCCTTTCTAGGCTTGAAGATCATCTAAGCTTCTACCCCTAATCATTGTTTTCCAATCCCAAGCACCACTTCAAGAACCATTAATATAAGTCCATCTGTCTTTGAAAGAAGCATTTTTATTCCTTTCCAAGGCATAAAGTCTAGGGAAAAGGTCTTTCAACTTTGAGCCTTGTCCGATGCTCGCATCTTTCCAAAAAAGAGAAGAA